CCCCCTCCTTTTATTTGACATCACAAAAGGCAGAGTTTATTCTCAGTTTTCATATGTGAAAAACGCAATTCTTATAGCAGTATGTAAGAAAATTTATGAGAGGAGATTCAATAAGCTTTTGCACATTTTAAAAGTATCTTACCCGCCGCCATCTCGACTTATTAGGAACTGTGTGGACCCACCACCAAAGAATAAGCACGGCATGGGAACCAGAACATACATAAGAGCTGTCAAAACCAAGTAATCTTCTTAGTCAGCAAACAATTAGATCCAACTCTGCTTACAAAAGCAGAAATAAGACCACCTACGTAGATCACACTTCTTTCACAAACCTGATAACATTGGCCACCAATTGTTGTATATAGCACAAGCCTACAAGAAAGAATATGCGGCAAAATCATGACGCAGTTAATTCTTTGGATAAGACCAAAAGCAATTCCAAGGCACTGCTAACTTAAAAAAATATATTAGATGCTCAAAAAGTAAACAGATAAATCATCCTGTTTTAATATAATATTCATACATACATACATATGTGTGTGTGTGTGTATATTTATGTATTATGGCTGGGGGAGGGGCCCAAGTAGAGGCAGTTTCAAGTACCTTGGGTCGGTTATCCAAGGGGGAGGGGAGATCGACGAGGATGTCACACACCGTATTGGAGTGAGGTGGATGATGTAGAGGTTAGCATCTGGAGTCCTGTGTGACAAGAGAGTGCCACCGATACTCAAAGGTAAGTTTTATAAAGCGGTGGTTAGACCGGCCATGATGTATAGGGCTGAGTGTTGGCCTGTTAAGAACTCACATATCTAGAAGATGAAAGTAGCAGATATGAGGATGTTGAGGTGGATGAGCGGGCACACTGGGATGGATAAGATTAGGAATGATGATATTCGGGAGAAGGTGGACGTGGCTCCCATTGATAACAAGATGCGGGAAGCGAGGCTCAAATGGTTCGGGCACGTTCAGAGGAGAAGCCCAGATGCTCCGATAAGGAGGTGTGAGCGGCTGGCTTTGGAGGGCTCGAAAAGAGGTAGAGGGCGGCCTAAGAAGTATTGGGGAGAGGTGATCATACAGGACATGGCGAGGCTTCAGATTTCTGAGGACATGGCCCTTGATAGAAGTTGTGGAGGTCGAGTATTAGGGTTGTAGGTTAGGAGGTAGTTGAGTCTTTCCTTAGTTCGTACCTTTGTGAGGCTAGTTTGGTAGGGTTTTTGTCTGAGACAGTTAGTGGCAATGTTGTGTCTTACTACTCTTTCGTTTTTCATAGGACCGAGTCTTTTTACTAGCTAGCGCTTTTGCTTTGCACCTATTTTCTGGTTTTCGTGATGTTGTTATTTTTTCTTATGGTATCTGTTGGTGGTCTTGATATTGTCTCTTTTCGTCTTCTTGAGCCGAGGGTCTTTCGAAAACAGCCTCTCTACTCCTCGGGGTAGGGGTAAGGTCTGCGTACACACTACCCTCCCCAGACCCCATTAGTGGGATTTTACTGGGTCGTTATTGTTGTTTGTTGTTGTATGGGTGGGGGAGGGGGGACTTGCTGGTACACAAGGGATACGCAAAAAGTAGAGAATTTTATGCAGCAATTGAACTAGATAAACTACAAAAGCAATACACAACATTCATTGGTACTTGCAACACCATTGGAAATAGAGGGGCACGCACTCATCACGCAGGAAAATGCTTATAACACCTACCAGGATCTGTAGCAAGATGCTGGAAGAGAACATGAAAGCAAGCCCCGCAAGCCTGGATCAGACATTATATCAGAAAACAGTCGACCAGAAATATAGACCAAAGGCAAATATTAGTTGAATCGCTTACACTTTAGCCGAGAAGTGAAAACCAGCAATTGAACCATAAGGATGACACAGAGGACCAAAAGAAATCAAGTTAGTACGAACATTTGAAATTTGACAAATTAAAAGTTACGAGCTACATGATTAAAAAATATGCTCAAAAAGCAATTACTTTAACGGTACCATCATTTGTAAATAGAAAACCCAAAAAGAAAAATCAAGTAAACGATGCAATGCCCCTTTAGATTCAGCCTGGTCTAGCCTGATAGACCCAGTTTTATCTTGTAGCTTCAGGGACGTAAAACGAGTAGACTAACTAATTAGAAAGTTTCAGCAGCAAACAAGTAAACATGTTAACTTGCAAGTAGACTAGTTAGTTTGGAATTGATTAACTACAAATGAGTATCAAGGTTTCGTTAGAAGTCAGATTAACAGTAGTCAAAGTCCACGATCCACAGCCACACGCTGGTCGTACTGACAAATGGCAGAGCAGTCATCAAACACTAGAGGATGAAACATATTACATCCAAATAGTGCATATTTAAGCTCAGAAATTTTAAGTTTAATTTCAGCAGCAAATCGAGGACATACTTTAGATCATATCTTTAAGACGTGATGCTCTCATCTTGCTAAATCATTAGGTTTGCCCAGCATAAAACCGGACATATTTTACTAGTTCTTCATCTTTTTCCTCTCTTCTCTATCAGCATACTTCCCATTTCCTCTTTATATTTTTCCATTTTTAGTGCTGCTTTAACACACCAGAACTTTAGAAAGTAACATGAACAATATGATAGAATAATTCTCCATTCTACATCTGCTTGAATGATACAATGCAACTTGGTCAAATTTTAGTGCAAAATGATTTCTGAAAAGACTCAAGATTCAAGCTTTGGTCAAAAACAATTCAATTAAACATGCTATAAGCTGCCACTGTAGCCCAAAATTGAAGATATAATAAGAATTCTATTGCCAGCAACAAGCAAAGATGGACAAAAGAAAAGTAACCATAAGCCCAAATCTTAATCAGCAGTATTTCAGCTGTAATTAAATTATTAAAAAATTAAAGGAACTAGAATTGAGTCATTTTTGTTCATCCACAAAAGAATCCCACCAATTTTTGATACAACAACTAGAAATAAACACTAAATAATAAAACTAAAGAGAAAAATTGAATAAATCAAATATAGGTTAACTGCTAATTGAGAACTGAAATTGGAGAGTAAGAAATTGTACCTTCAATGGTCATCGCCATTTATGGTAAATCTTAAAGGGGCAAAAGAGGAAGGAAATCTGATTTCCTTGAACTGAAACAGTGGGAAGACTTCGTACTCAAATTTGGGCTTGTAAATTTGGCTGCAAATAAATAAGTGCGTATTTATTTATTTAAGAGATCCTCCCACTTTATTATTTTGTCGTTTTGTGCTCGAATGTATGAAAGTTCATTTTTTTTTTTTAATTAAAATCTTTGTATTAACCACCAATGTAAATATTTACAAAGCTATCACTACGACCTACTCCCATAGTGGAAAAAATAACTCACTTTATACCTTCCCTATCTCCTAATCTCATTTATACATTTCTCTCTCAAGCTAACTACTCCGTATTTACATTTTGTTAAAAGAACATGAGACCCTCACCTCTAATGTTGCACATGCATAACATTCTCCTTGCAAGAACATCCCATGTTGTTGCTTTCTTCTCAAATATCCTTGTATTTCTCTCAATCCACACTGTGTATGTATATTCTGCAAATACTAGTTTGAGTATCCTAGCCAGCTGAGATCGCCCATTTGTTTTCTTTACAATCCAGTTCTGCCATTCAGACCACGATGTTGTAAATGATTGTTGTACCTGTAACCATTGCATGAGTCTGGACCATAGACTTCTACCATATGCACATTCTGCAAAGATGTAATCCCTTGTTTCTGGTGCTTGATTACAAAAGCAGCATGTATCTTCCACTTGTATTCCCCAGTTCTTCAATCTGTCACCAGTGAGCAATTTTTCCTGAATTTGTAGCCATATTATGAAGATTGCTTTTGGTCGTGCTTGATTCTGATACATTAAACCTTTCCATGAGACTTTAGGCAGCTCTCCTGACAGTTGCAAGTAAACATGCTTGATTATGTTCCTTTGGTAAGCTTGTTATTGCTGATGCCATCCAGATTACCCCTTGCTCCAAATATTTTCCTTACCATCCAAGATGCCTGTTTTGGTGCTTCCATGACGGCAAAGACTTGATCCTTAATGTGGTAGCTATGGATCCATTTGATCCAAAGTTTATCTTTCTTGTTTGCCAATTCCCAGCATGTTTTTGTGATTGCAGCCTTATTCCATAGTGCCATGTTGATCAAGTTAAGTCCCCCTGTTGCTCTAAGTGCACACATCTTGTCCCATACCACTAAAGCTTTTTTAGTGATTATATTCTCCCCCGACCACATGTAGCTTCTGCAGTAGGCATCTATTGTTTTGATAACTTTAGCTGGTATGATGAAAATTTGTGCCTAATAAGCTTGAATACCAAAGATTACATGTTGCACCAATTTGATTATGCCTGCATATGAGAGCTTCTTTGTTGTCCAGGAGAATATCCTAGCCACTATTTTGTCAATGAGTGGCTGTCATTGCATTACAAAGAGTTTCTTTGTGTCAAGTGGTATGCCCAGATATCTGAAAAGGAGATCCTTGACTATAACCTAGTTTTTGTTGTATGTCGTGCTTCACTTCCAGGCTAACTCCTCCATAGTAAATAGAGCTTGTGGCTAGGTTAGATTTAAGGCCTGATGCTACTGAGAAAATGTTGAACGTGCTGAGAAAGATCATTAAAAGGCCCCAAATGAGTTTTACTTTTGGCAACTCCACCTCGTAATGATACTTTACACCTAGGGAAGTAGGGGAAAATAGTATTTACACCCCTTTGTTTTCTCAATTGTTATGCCTTTGAATATAGTATATTCCTCCTTTTTCCTTTTTTAAAAATCTTTTTTTTTATAGTGGGAGAAAGTAAAGAGAGAGAATATTTCGAAAAAAAAAATATTGTAACTAACTAATTTCAAAAAAATTAGAAAATATATTAAAATATTATATAATAGGAAGCACAAGAAGTTTATTTTCTACCAAAAAGTCAATGCAATAATAACTTTCACTTCTTGTACAAATATCATTTTCACGTTAGTTGTACTTTTCATCCCTTTTTAATCCAATTTAACACTATTACTTGGTCAGATGATGCATTTGTTAAGGGTTTCCATTATTAATTACTCCATCACATGCTTATTGACATTGATTGGTCATATGCTTGGAGCCAAATGAAGGGATTGGTATCGAGGATGTGCGAAAAGAGGGTCTGTTATTTACGAAACACATCTTTAAAGTAGTGTAAAAAAATTAAGATAAATAAGAAGGATAAGTGAGCGTTATAATTGGGTCATCACTAATAACTCTAAAGCAAAAAATTACAGGAAGTTATGTGTTAAGGTGCCGAAAAAAAAATTTGAGATTGAACTTTTAAATGACGCTCTCTTGTCTATAAACATTAAAGGTATGTAATTATATATAAGATATAAAATTGACCACTGGTATCAGAGTAGTAAACTATGACACATCAATACCACATTAGAGCTATGTAATTGTAAGCATAAAAATAGACTAGCAATTCAAGTCTGAAATTGGGCGTAGGATCAACGAAAAAGGTGAAGGAACTTTGCCACACAAAAGTATGAGTACTCGACCGTCGACAGGGGCGGATTTACCTTTGTGTAAGCGGTGTCATCCGACACCGCTTGGTCAGAAAATATCATTAAATATACATTCTATTAAATTTATAATATTCTAAGTAAGTCATTATAAAAGACGAAATGAAAGTGCTTGCCAACAGGCTTGTCCTGGTCCATTGGTTAAGCAGCTAAATTTGAGTAGGAGGTGTGAGGTTCGAATCTGTACAGTTTTGCATATGTACACTAGTTTTGCTACCTCATTTTCTTTCCTTTTATTTTTAGTGGTATTTTTTGTGAGTTGGATTCGTGGAAATATTTAGGAGTTATTTTAGTTTGAAATTAACTTTAGTTTCAATGTGGAGATATCCTCGTAAAGCACTTGTTAAGCTTTCAAAATCAAGTTTAACATCTGTAAGTTCATCTAACTTGAACAAAAGGATTAATGAGGCGAAATCATGTCTACATCGGGAAAGAATTATTTTAAGTTCCTTAAAAGTTATTTAAATATGAGTGATTGTGTGACGCCTTATATATATATAGTTTTTCCAATTTAAGTGACAATCGAAACAGGATTATTATTTAAGTTCAGAGTCGCCACTTGGGATAATTTATGGTGTCCCAAGTCACCGGTTTTAAAATCCCGAATCGAGGAAGTTTGACTCTATTTTAGTCCATGAAATACAGAAATACGGGTAAGGAACTCTGTTAACCCGGGAGAAGGTATTAGTCACTCCCGGGTTCCGTGATTTTAGCACGGTCGCTCAACTATTATTATTGGCCTATTTATCTAATTTTAAAACATCTTTGAAATCTATGTGCATTTTTATCCCTTTTAAACCGCTTTTAATTATTCATGGAATTATTCTGGAACAAGTTATGATTGTCGTACACTTGTTTGTTTGGTACACATTGTGAAGTCACGGGAACCATACCCACGGTTTACAACATGTTTAAATTATTAGCATTATTAGTTGTTATGGTCGGGTCACATAAATGTACCCCTGAATTTTAGAATTGTTTATCACAACTACGTCACGGGAACCGTACCCGCATCTATGATACTTTGTTTAATTAACTCGCCTAAAGCAAACTACGAGAGTTCAAGGCATTTTTCTACATTAGTTAAGATATTGATGTAAGGGCCATAGACTATGTGATTGGATAGCACACCTCAACTTATTTAAAGAAAAGATTTGTATTCAATTAAAGCGAATTACGGGGTTCCTGTTTAATCTAAATCAAAATTCAGTCTAAACTACTAATTGCAAGTATGCACTGGGATAACTCACTGGGCCTTTAATTAATTTGGGAAAACTGGGCCAGCAGCAGGCCCAATTGTGTTTTAAAGAAATAAATAGGGACTGGGCTCGAAATTGAGCCCATAAATGAGAACAAAAGGCAAACATCCCCAACAATTTTAATTGGCCAGTAACAGGCTCAGCAATCTAATAAAACTCCACATTAAATTCCTTTTTTTGTTAAATTAATGTAAAACTTTAATAAAAACTAAGGCTGAAGACTACCGGGCTCAAAATTGAGCCCAAGACAAGAGAAAAACAGATCTCAAACAGGCCAATTCACGCGGTCAATACCGGGCCCAACATTCGACCTGAAGGCCTTAAGCATACTAAGGCCTTTCTTGATATTCAGGCTGCTTTAAATGCACAAATAACAAAACATGATGTTAAAATCTGAAGCTCAACATGCTGAATCAACTGTACTATCCACATGCCATGTAAAACATTGATGTTAGCTAAATTAGTTGAACATAACAACCTTGAATCATGACATGACGTTTAAGAGAGGAAACTTCAGCTAACTTCGACTTTAAGAACCAGAACAACTAAAAATGGGGTTAAGGACTATTAACATTGCTAACACTTAGTTGTGCATTATCAAATGACTATAAAAATACTCTCAGAATCCAAAGACCCCAGTAACGACCACATAAACTATTATAGCTGCCTAATATTTTAAAATTGTCAAAACAATACATGGAGTTGACTAAGCTAACCTGATCATTCATATGAATACCAAATTGAGGCTAAACGTTCAGATTCAGAATATTTACACAAAACCAAGATGCTAAACTAAACAAACTGTAAATAGCATACAGATGAGACTATAATTTTAACATCTTGAACACCCAAATTTCTTATTACAGCACAAGCAAAAAACATGCTTTACAGCTTCATTTGCCATTCAAAGAAGTTCATAGGAGTACCTGGATATCAAGAACAAAGCAAAAGTGAGATAAGAATTTCAGCAAGCAAATGAGTGAGGATAATAGCAATTTCACAGCAATGCACAGCTCCAATTTAAACCATATTCAACCCAGAAAACCAAAAATCCAGCAGATGTTTTTCCAAGTTCTTGCTACAGAGAAATCCGAAGAAAACAGACTACTCTCAATGAAACAGTGCCCAAGCCTTTTGAGTCTTTTTAGGGTTTTAAAATCTGTATCAACGTGTCTTTTTTGAATGAAGAGAAGGGTACTATTTATAGGCCTAAATGCCATGTGCTGGAAAACTGTTTTGGGAAATATTCCCTATCAGCCTGAAAAGGCATCTTTCTAACAAACTTGAACAGCTGGCTGTCCCTCGTTGGCTTCTGTACTTTGTGCTAACCAAATGAGGCCAGCTGCCCCCTATTCTAGAACCCTCCAGCAGGGTATTTATCCTATTATATTTACCCACCCTTCAAGCAAACCCCTTAAGTTTATTTATTGTTCAATTAAACCCTACCCTTAATGACTTACAAACTATGGAAAACAAAAACAAACAAGCAAATATCAAATAGACGAATCAAACAGCAAACAACAAAGCCAAAAGTGAACATCTGGAATCTTGAAATAAACCTAAAAGGACTCAATTTCATGATGAATTTCAGAAATCTAATTTAACGATCGATGACAAACTAACTCAAATCATAGCAAAATATTACCTAACATATTGAATCTGGCATGGAACAACCAAATCAAATACGAAATAACCTACATAACCTAAAACGTGCATCTAAACACCAAGGACAAAAAGAACAGAAAAAGGAAGAAACAGAACAAGAAAAGAAAATAATATGAGAAATCTAGCCTAAATAGTTAAGAATCCAAATTAATCTAAGCAAGTAGATAATAAAATTAATTTAAACAAAAATAAAAGTAAAAAATCAGAAAGCAAACAAAACAAAGAAAATAAAGAGGAGGGTACTGGTTTAACTGGAAAGAGCCGATGACTGAAATGACCCAACGAACAAGGAAGGCGACGACCTTGGCCAGGCACAGTGGTTTGATCGAGAAGCGGCGACCCTCGAAACAAGCCAAGAGTAGCGTTAGTCAATTGTTCTTAACAAGAACGATTGCTTAACGCAAGTCTCGAGTCAAATCGAGCCCTAGGAAGCAAGGAATCGGAATTAGGGTGGATTTAAGGTTTTCTTCAAAGTCTCAGATATGGATTTAGAGAAAATAGATGGGGATTTTGGGGAAACTAATGGTGGATTTAGAAAGAGGATAGGACGGGGGTTGCATGGTACTAATTTGGGGGAGTTTGGAGCGTCGCCGCTGCCGTGGGACGATTTTCGGCAGGCGGCGGCTGGTGGTGAAGAGAAGAGGAATTAGGCGGCTAGGTTTTGGGTTCAAAGTGAGGGAGACGGGGAAATGGGAGGGGGTATGAAGG